CTACACCCAGTTGTCAATAGATATCAAATACAGGAAGTTTCCCTGAAATTCTACCAAGATTAGTGATAAATTCTCCCAAATGCTAATCTAGCCACTCATGGATGATGGCAACATTTAGATTTTCTTTAATAAATGTTAAATGCCTTTGAAGTAGGTACCTGAAATATTTGTTTGAATGCTTTCCAATCTGTTAATTGTTTATATGTGTGTGTGTAGGTTTTGTGTATCTTCCAATTACAAGATAAAGGTGAACAAATACAAAGTATAATCAAAACTACTATTTTCAAGAAATCTTTTTTTTTTTAGCAGAACCAGAAAAGCCGTAAATAGGGGTTCATCAAATCTGTATTGCTGACTGCTGCTAAACACAGAATCCTGGTCTTGCTCACTGCTGGCACTCCATAAATGTTTGCTGAATTAGCTAAACCTTGGTTTGTCTCATAATCAACCATCCCAAACAGCACACAGATAATTACTTCTTGGAAAAATTCCAACTAGAGTTTGATGTTACTTATGTGATTTTTTTGTCTCTCTCAAGAACAGCTTCATAGATTTAAATTATTTTATGACTTTTTCCTTTGACCTTAACATCATCTATGTGAATAATAGCTCAATACAAAACTCCTACCAGTACATTCCACTGCAAATTCAGGCATCATCTTGGAAATTATGTCAGTTTCTTTTCATTGAGAGGAGGAGATACAGTCTCTCAGCTACAGAGATACAAAATTTGGAACCAACATGAGTTAAAAAATTTTAAATGTTTTCTTTGATTTTTTTTTACAATAAGATAAGAATTTTGGAAAGAACTAAAATGTTTTCACAAACCTGGCTTTTCTTAAGAGATAATCTTGTCTATTTCTTGTATTTACTAAAAGTGTCTAGTTACAAAGTTAATTTTGAAACATAACTTAAAAACTTAGCAAAATACTGCATTTAACAGGAATCTGCACAGGCAGAAAAGATACATCCAGGAAGATGGGTTTATTTGAAAGTTAGAATATTAGTTCATACTTTGGTACAACTTAGGATCATTCCTAATCATTCCTAATGCCAAGGAATTAACTTGAAATGATGTTGACCATTAAGATCCTAAATTTAGCACTTGTCAAAACAAGGTATACTTTCTCTTCTGCTTTAAGAGCAAGCAAACCAAATCCTTGGAAATAATATTGTCTGGGCCTTTGAACTACTCCAAAAAGAGATGTATACATTGAAAAATCCATATTGATTTTGGAACAGGATGGATTTGTTTCATATCCTGTGAGACAATAGTCATCTATTTCCTGAAGATATTCTCTCATTCCAACAAAGGTGTTGGCTTACTTCACAGGGTTCTGGGTGGGTTTGGGTGAGTCGTGCTGTCAGGAATACAACATCTCAAATGAAGGTGGTTGTCACATTCATTACTCCAATTGTATTATGGGGGAAATTCAGAGCACTGAAAGAGGAAATAAACCTTTGAGTTCACCTAAATGTAAGCTGGAATTTAAAGCCAAAGGTTATAACAGCAACAGAATAAATCCACCACTTGTAAGCTTATAGCTTCTTAAATTTTTTTAAACAAATACTTTAAAAGTTCTACAGACAGTGGCTGCTGATGGCTAACACTTGTAATTCTAACTACTTATCAGGAGGCTGGGATCTAAGGATTATCATTCAAAGCCAGCTGGTAAAGGACAGTCCGTGACATGTGACATACTTATCTCCAATTAACACCAAAAATCTGGAAGTGGTCCTGTGGTTCAAATGGTATAGTGCTGTCTAAAGTGATAGCTCCCAGGTGCATTTTCTCTCTCTCTCTCTCCCCTCTGTCACACACATACACACACACACACACACACACACACACACACACACACACACGAATAAACATGATGGCTTCTGAGGTTTCTTATGGATTTCCCCCAGTCAGCATAATTAAGGAAAGTACATGTCTATTACAATTAAATTAGTGTTCATTATTTTTTAATGTATCCTTCATGGGATGGGGATGGGTAGAGGAGTCAACCTTTTTTAATCACATGGGAAAAGAGTAGGGATTATTATATCTTAAGAGTCTCAACAGATGTTCATCAAATGAGAATAAACAGTATGTGGCAGAGCCTGGAGGTGATTCCTCACTAATCTTGGAATGATTCAAGAGACTCTTGCAAGTAGCCCAAGTTTGAGACAATGAGCTTTGGACTGGCAGCTTTACCAATATGGCTCAAACAACAGGATATTGAGATGGTATCATATTAGATGTGGGGCACTTAGGTGGGTGTACTAGGAGAGAAAAGAAGGTAGGTGAATTGGGAGGCAGGAAGGTTGACTAAGTATGGGTCAGTTAATCATGGCTTCAGGATCTATCGGCAAAAAGGCCCAGGCCAAGGCCCTTAACATGTCAAGTCTAGACTGCAGATTGGCTGAGATGGAAATACAAGATGGAGAATACTCAGCATATAGATGGTAGTCCAGTCCAGAAGATAGCATTGCCTACTATAACCTCAGCATAAAGAATAAAAAGAAAAGGAAGAAGATGAAGAAGAAAGAAGAAGATGAAGGAAGAAGAAGAAGGAGGAGGAGGAGGAGGAGGAGGAAGAGGAGGAGGAGGAGGAAGAGGAGAGGGAAGGAGGAGAGGGAAAAAAGAGGAGGAAGGAAAAGAAGAGGAGGAAGAGGAGGAGGAGGAGGAAGAGGAGGAGGATGAGGAGGCTGGCCATGATTCTCTATACACCATCTTAGTCCTGCGTCATGCACTCCATGAAAATAAGCTCCCTCCCTCCCACCTCTTGCTCTTGGCTGCAATTGTGGCTCAAGAGGCACTCAGTAGACACTGAAGAATGACTGACAATGTTGCTGGGATCAAAAGGCTAATTCTACCTGTTTCTCCATGGTCCCTGCCACTACCCTGATGTAGTTCCATCATTCAGTATTCACCTCCTAAGTTAGTTCTTGCTCTCACATTAGGCATAATCACAGATGGCAATGCTTTCTGGGGATGATTCAAAAAGAGAGAAATTGGGACCCTGTATAGAGGGTCACACCTGTAATCCCAGCTACTCAGGAGGATCTCAGTTCTAGAAGGCCCAGTAAAAAACGTGAGAGACCTATCCGAAAAATAACCGAAGCAGAAAAACTGGAGGTATGACTCTAGTGGTCAAGCCAGAGGCCCTGACATAAAATCCCAGTATCAAAGGAAAAACATAAGTAAAGATGGGACAAGTATTTTCTTGTGGCTTTGATTTAAAGTAAAATTGCTGCCTTATCGTCCACCCCTTTCCTTGCTCCTGGCCCACCCAGTAGACTTCCTAACCCATGGATGTGAGAGTCAGAGATTGGCTTGCTCTCTAAGTTGCTATGAAGCAAGTCTCAGAGAGACAAAGGAGGTGGGGAAGCTGGCAGGCATGGTTGCTGGAGATTCCCAGGCCTGTTTCCTTGCTCCGGCAAGGAACTTACCCTAGGGGGCAGCAGACCCGCCACCGGCGCAAGGCGATCCTGTGCGGGACGAGCTTTCAGCCTGCGCCCAGCATCTGTCCAGGCTCCTGTCAGGCCCCCACAGGCCACAAGTCTGCAACCCATTGGCCGGGCACGATAGCTACAAGGTCGACTGGCAAGGACCCAGAGCCAAGAGCCCAGCGGGCAGTCTCTGCCTTTTAACTGGCCGCTTCCATCCTCCTGATCGCGGCTTTCCGCAGCCAGGCTTGGGACTCGCCCTTCCTCTTACCAACCCCGCGGTTCTCTGACACTTCCTAAAGCTGTCGTTTTGGTTTTTTTAACTTTCAAGTTTGTGAGTGCGTGTGTGTGCGCTTCTAGGTGTAGGAGTGGGATGAGAATTCACTTAGGGTTGAAATCACCCTTGAACAACCTCCCACAAGTCACAAGATTTGGTGTCTCAGCTGCAGACAGTGACGTTCAGCCACGCGTGGGTAAAGCATGCAGAAAAGGTGCCCAGTACACCAAAACTACGCATACAAAATACAAACATCAGATCGAGGGCCAGTGAGAAGCCCGTGAGCGATCCATGAGCCCGCGGGCGACGCCCTCCAACTTTCACTACTCGCTGTTGTAAGGAGCACCAGGCAAACCGGATTCGTTTTGCCATCCACCCTCAGCGGCCCAGCCCCGTGCTCAGCATTCTGTCCCGAACAGGTGAACGAACGCATTCACGACTGACCCGTGGCCGGCGCCTCCGTAGGCGGGCCAGGTGCCTGACTCCATCTTTCTGGTTGCCGACCCGGTAAGGGGCCGTGGGGACCCCGGCACCAGCAGAGCCCGGGCTGATACAGAGCCACTAGCCTCTGGGGCCTGCAGAGCCCGCTCCCCGCGCGCCGCGCCACGTGGGGAGGCCCTCACCTCCCCACCCCCCCGCCCGCCCGGCCTCACGCAGGCCCCGCCCTGCCCGCACGCAGCCGGGCCACCCAACGACCCCCCAAGCCCCTGTTTGCCCCGTGCGCCTGCGCCCACTGGGGGGCGCTCCCCTTCCACCCCGCACACCCGCAGGCGGGTGCCTCCGGGTCCTCCGCGATGGCAAAGTCGCGGCCCTGGCGCGCGCCTCCTCCTACCTGAGGACTGGCGAAGGAGGCGCGCGAGAAGGGCCGAAGGGACTGAACGGGGTCCTGGCATGAGCCAAGTGGCGAGAGGGCGAGCGGCCTCAGTAGATAATCCGGGCGCGGGCGCGCGCGCGCGCGCACTCCCCTCCCTCGCTCCCTTGGTCGACACCCGGCCCGAGCGCCCAACCCTGCTGCCGCGCGCCGCCCGCCTCGCCGCGCCTAATAACAACGGCGTCCGGGGTCAGGTGGCCGCGCGCGGACAGGGCAACCATTGGCCCGGCGGGGAGCGCGGCGCATCAGGATTGGTTGGAGGGCGGGGTTTCGGCGCAGGCGGGGGCGGGGCTTAGAGAGAGGCGGGGGGGGGGGGGGGGGGGGGGGGGGGGGGGCGGGGACAGGCTGTGGTCTGCGCCTTTGTGCCTGGCGCGCGCTCTCCGCCCGCTCCGCTGCAGCGCCCGCTGCATCAATAATTCAGAGCGGCGGCGGCGGCGGCGGCGGTGGGTGCGGGCAGGAGGCGGCGGCAACAGCGGGGACTAAACAGCAGCGGCTATGCATCCAAGTGCGGCTGGGCAGCCGCTGCACCCCTGAGGCCCGGGCGGGGCTCCCAGAGCTTCGGGCGGGAGGACGTTGGTCCCAGAGTGCGAGGAAGATCAGTAGAGTCCAGGGCGGCGTCGGCTGCGCTGCGCACAAAGCTGAGGAGGGGGCCTCGGAGCAGGGCTGGGGAGGGGGGCGGCTGGCGCTGGCAGCCCCCGGGGTGGGGGGCGGGGTGGGCGCCGGCGGCGCGATGCTGGGCATCGTGGAGCTGCTGCTTCTGGGGGCTGCGTGGCTGGCAGGCCCGGCCCGGGGGCAGAATGAGACGGAGCCCATCGTGCTGGAGGGCAAGTGCCTGGTGGTGTGCGACTCGAACCCCACGTCCGACCCTACGGGCACAGCTCTGGGCATCTCTGTGCGCTCCGGCAGCGCCAAGGTGGCTTTCTCTGCCATCCGGAGCACCAACCATGAGCCGTCCGAGATGAGTAACCGCACCATGATCATCTACTTCGACCAGGTGAGTGTCCTTCCTCCCGAGGCGTGCGGGCTGGATCGGAGGGGGTGTGGGAGAGCGGAGGAAGATGTGATGTCTGGTCCTCGCCAAGAGCCCTGGGGAGGCACGGAGACCACAGCCCGGGAAGCACCCCGGTCTATTCCCCTTGGTTTCCGTCTCATTATAGGTACTAGTGAACATCGGGAACAACTTTGATTCAGAACGCAGCACTTTCATCGCCCCTCGAAAAGGGATCTACAGTTTTAACTTCCACGTGGTAAAAGTCTACAACAGACAGACCATCCAGGTCAGCTGCCGCCTGGGGGGGGCAGGCCCAGTCCTCCTTGGGGACCTCTAACCCCAGGGGAGTCAAGAAAGGGCTCTGTGGAAGGGGGAGGAGGAGGGAGAAATACAGCTGCATGTGCTGCGGGCTGCTTGGAGGTGCAGACAGCCGGGCCTCGCTCTTGTGCGGCTTGGACTGTCCCTTGCTATCCCTGTCGTTGGCTTTCCTGGTCATATCCCCACAGATGATTTTCAGTCTCAGCCCTCGGAGCTACAGGACTTTCCTACGGGACTCCGAGGACTTTCTAAAATGTTTGTGAGCGCCCCAGACAGCTCCCACTTTTCTAAGCTTTCCCAGATTCAGGCTTTCAGCACCATGGACAATACCTTCGGAGCACGCCCCGAGGCTCCCGGGCCTTCAGCCTGCAGAAGGACCCGGTTCCCCTAACCTGGCGCCCTGAAGGACGTCCCTTTAGGGGAGATTCTGGTTCACAGAACTCACAGCTCCATCCCTGGCGTGTGTGGGGTAGAGAGAGAGGAGGGAGGGGGCGTGGAGACGTCCAGGTTTCCTTAGATCGCTGGGAGAGGCGGAAAGCGCCGCTGGGAAGAGAGTGCCGGGCCCTTGGCTGCGATGCCACCCTCCGAGGCGGGGCACGGCTGGATCTGAGGAGTTGAGTGCGTGGTTTGAGGACGAAGCGCCGAGTGCAGTTCCGCTGGCAGGGTTTCTAAACAGCCAGAAGTCTCGCCTCCAGTCGCCACGGTGTCGGGGTCACTGGGATCGGGAGGGGCCAGGGCTTTGTTGGTTTGTTTGTCTTGGCTATTTCGGAACGCCGGGAGCTGAGTTAGCCCGAGTTTCTCTTTCAGGCTCTAGGAAACAGGAGAGGTCAAAGTCTGGGGCGCTCGAGCCAGCCGCGGGCTCATTAAACGGGGTACTGCACGGCCAGCCTTCGCGTGGCGCGATCGTTTGAGAAACTGGGATGAATGAGAGTGACTCTCGCTTTGGGAGTAGATTCTGTCTCTCACTCAGATAGGCGATCTTTTCCCCGCGGCTGCAGGAAGCGGCCAAGTCCCTCTCCCCCTGGCTCCCCTCTCCCCGGGGCTTCCAGGCTTTCGTGGCGGCCAGCCCCGCGGAGGACCTTCACGTCTCCGCCGCAGCCTCGGGTGCCGCCGGGCTGGCCTGCGCCCCTTTCTAAACCGGCCTTTCTCTCTCTCAGGTGAGCCTTATGTTGAACGGGTGGCCGGTGATTTCTGCCTTCGCTGGTGACCAGGACGTGACCCGGGAGGCCGCCAGCAACGGAGTCCTAATCCAAATGGAAAAAGGCGACCGGGCATACCTCAAGTTGGAGCGAGGGAACTTGATGGGGGGCTGGAAGTACTCGACCTTCTCCGGATTCCTCGTGTTTCCGCTCTGACTGGCTCACAGCCGGAATGGAGGCAGGAGAGGGAGTCCAAAAGAGGATGAAAGTAAGAGGGCGAGGAAACAAGGAAGCGGCCCCGCTTGAACCCATCCTGCCCGTCCCTCTAGCTGCGCGGGGAGTCGAGGCGAGCACCGGCGGGCGGGCGGACCACTCGGTCCGTTTCCTTTCTAAGAGAAGTAAATTCCGCTTAGCTATGCGTACTCCCATTTCCAAAAATAAACTCACCACTCCCATTCCAGTTGCAGTAATCAAGAACGCGACTGCTTTGTCATTGTTTCCGACTCCTATATTCAGGTTCCCAATCAGTTATTTAAAAGAAACTGCATTTAACTATATAAAGTGAAATCTCTCTCCGTATGCCCCCATTCATCCCATTTAGTGAAACCGGATGTTTCTCTCTCTCTCTCTCTCTCTCTCTCTCTCTCTCTCTCAGTTTGTAAAGGGGGTAAGGTGTTTTTTTTTTTAATTTTGAACGGGGAAGGTGGTTTTAACATGACAAGCATTGCTCTTCTTCACACACCCGCTCAAGAGTTATTAGCTGAAGATGCTTTGTATCCTCGGCTGCTTGTTACACAAGAAAGGACTCACCTTAGTGGTGACTGGTTCAAAATATACATAAATATATATATCATTTGTACACGAAGAACTCTTCCCAGTGGAAACTGGCTGTATTTCGTATTTCTATGTCCTATTCGGAGTGATCGTGACACCCAAGGCTGCCTGATGTTCTGATGCTTGTCAGTGCCCTCGTGTTCTGTGGCTCCACTAACCGCAAGGAGGTTCTTCTGGACGCTTCCTCTTCCTCTGTAACATACGTGTGAATAGCCAAAATTTAATTTTGCTTTAATCCAATAAAGTCAAAGTGGAACTTTTATTTTATTTTTCTGAAACAGCTTTCTATACTCTGCATCTTCCCCCACCTTTGAGTTGGGGGCCCGGGGTACTGGAGACTGAGGTTCAGAAAAGCGGCAGGCGACTTAGAGAAAAAAAATAAAAGAAAAAAAACACCACGCAACCAGAAAAGGAGACAGGTGCAGAGGTTTCCTGGCAAAGCTGGCCCTATGCACTATGTCTAAGAATGGTCCTGCCTTCGTCTGTGCTCTCTCCTTCGGCGCTAGCCTAAGAAATCTGCCCCCAGTCCCGCTAGGCCCGACGTAGCCACGGGGCTGGGAGCGAAGTTTGGGTTTTTCTAATTCCAAAAGCATTCAGAATCGTTCCAATGGGAGGACCTGAACCAGCCTGCCCGGGCAACAGCTTTCCTGGATGTCCCCAACCTCCCTCGGATCCTCCATTCCCGAAGCAGCAGTGTGCGTTCCAAACCACTTCCTACCGAATCCGGAGTCCAGCCGCCGAATCACCGGGAGCCCAAGTGACTGCGCTCATTCGCAAGACTTTTTATTCAAGAGGTTCGTCCAGGAGTTTTGATTGTATCGGAACAAAATGTGAAAGCAAAATTGAAATAAACGAGTTTGTTTTGAGTCTGGAAGGCTGACCCAATGGCTTTGGCAGCCCGGCACCATACAGCCGGGAAGCGCCTGGGGGAAGGTAACTGCTTGGGATCCACCACCTGGGACGTCCTCTGGTTCTGGACCCTTTTAGAGTCCCCTCCCCGCCCCCCTGGCCAAAGATTCAGGATTGAATTAATTGGCTGGGAGAGTGGGACGGAGAAAGGGTTGGGGAAAGGGGGATGAAATAACAGCACAGCGGGAAGCATTTCTCCGATTTACTCCTGTGGCTTGCCTGAGTTAGAGATTCACAAAAGCTTGGGTCCTCTGTAGAATCCTGGATCCCATTACTCCTCTCTTAGTCCAGCTGGTCGTGGTCTATCTCCTGTAGCAGAAGCCAATTGCAGCCCCAGGGACAGGGGGCCTGCAGTGCCACAGGTGGGGATCTGGGGAGTGAGGAGCGACCTGGGTGCTTTTCTCTTTCTGCCCAACAGTTCCGTATGGAGGATCAAAAGGATCGCACAAGAATTAAAACAAAAATAGACAAAACAAAGTAGCCAAAGTGGTAGCTTTGTTTTCAGTGTTCCTGCTGGGCAGGGGAGGTCTGGGCAGCTGCAGCGTGAAGGCAAAACTACTTCTATCAGTAGTTCTTGGGTGCAGAGCCTGTCCTTCAGACATGTGGAGACCCGGTCTGCTCCCGGTAGCAGAGGCTCCGAAATGTGCAGGTTGGTAGCCACCACTTTTAAAGCCCCACGGGGCTGCTGATGGGTGGCCCTCCTTCTTGGAGTCAGAACTAACCAGACTTTTATGCCCCTTGCTAGCATACTGGGGAAGCGCCTGGTTTTATAAAGCCAGGGAGGAATGTAAACATTTTCCCCAATCCCTCCTGCTCTGTAAGTCCAGGCATTCTCTGTTCCTGAACCTTGTCAGTAGGTTCTTTTGCCTTAGTTAATTAGTTCTGCCCAGAGAATGCAGTGATTAGACTGGGTGTAGTCCTATGTGTCCGGAACTGAGGCTCACTCCTGAGTCTCAGATTTGGGACCTGCCTGGGAGCATGAGCCCTCAGGAGGAGAGGTGAACTTCCCCTGTGATGCTGCTCTGGTTCTTGGAGGAATGTCTCAGCTTCCCCAAATATTTGACATTGGAGATCCTGCTTAATCTGGCTCCCTCCTCTTCTTCTTCCTCCACTGGCCCTTTCCTTTGCCATTTCTGTATCTACTTCCACACCTGCTGTTCTGCCCTTTCCCTTTCCCTTTCAAAGGCTTCTCCTATCCATGGAGAACCTATGAAATTCAGTGAAAGGCCACACTCCTGTCCCTTATGGTGCTGCTCCAAGGAGCATTTACAGCCATTCACAGCCTTTCCTCATCCTGTTCTCTAGCCAAGTATCACCAGGCCCAAAACTTCCCTTAGCCTGAGTGAGGCTATGGATAACTTCCTCCACACCTCCATGGGCCTGGCCTGTGATAACTGGACTGCTTCCCTCACCTCTTAGTGAAGGCAGAGTGAGAACTTAGGTCAGAGGCAGGAGAGTCTATCTTGGCCTCAAAATTGGACTCCAGATGGGTCAGCCTCAGACTCCAAGGGAGGGAGTATGACCTGGGAGGTTGGCAACCTGGAAGGGAGCTAGGTGGGGAAAGGGAATGGAGAAGAAAGTGCCTGAATCTAGTGGGGACTTCCTCCTGGCCCCAAGCACAGGATGGGGTGGGGGGAGAGGGCAAGAAGGGAGAGAGGCTAGTCTAAAACCTGCCTCTCCCCTTGGTTTCCTTTAAAGCTTTGAAGCCTCTAAGCCTTGTAGATCTATGGCCTGCCTTCTTCTTTTGTCTAAATAGCACCAAAACGTTTTAGATCTCAGCCTCCAGCCATTCCAGGACCACCCCCCTAATTCAGCCTCACCCGGGTGTGAAAGACCCACCCATAGCCCAGGCCCCCTTGGTTAACTTCCTCTTCTCCCATTTCCAGGAAACCTTTACACAAATGGACAGAGCTCCCTTCCTTAGCCTCCATCTTGGATGTGTAGCCCACTCCCGCCCCTTTGTTGCCTCTTGGAGGCAGACTGCAGTGATCAGCACTCAGCTAGGCCTAGGGACATGATGAGAGGAACGCCTGAAGGTTTCTAAGATACAAGGAGTCGGCCCTTCACGCTGAGCCAAGCGTTCTGGGCAGGAAGGAGTGGACCAGGGTTTTCTGCAAAACAGTGTAAGTGTTTGCTGATCCTGTGCTGGCGGCCAGGCTCTGGGACTGGGCAGCTGCTTTACCACCACTAGCAGAGCAGAGAGCACACACAGGGTATGCAGAGCAAGCTGAGCTGCATACTATGGCTTGGCTCCCTGTCTAGCTTATCTGTTCCTAAAGAGAACGCAGTCACCCAGAGGGAGAGGAGGCTTCACCTTGGTGCTTAATTGTGGCCTTACTGAGTCGGGGGAGGGGGAGGCAGGGCAGGTAGAAGGAATGGGTGGATCTTAGGTGGGTCTTAGGCCTGGGGCTCAGTGAAAACCAAAGACTCCAGCTTCAGCAATGCTACCTGCTGGCAGCTTCTGGTTTTACAAGTGACCTTGTGATACCCTCTCCCCACAATTTGACCTTATTTTCCAGGTGGTATAGCTTTTCTGATCCAGATGTCCTGGAGTTTAAGCCTTCTCCTCCAGTAACCCAGCTACCCCTCTCTCAGCAGGCTCTTCTTGAAGGCCTCACTCTACTACCATTTAAACAAAACCCCTTAACTGATTCCAGAGGAGCTGAAGGTCAAGTTCCAAGAAGCTCAGGCACACTGCCCCGAAGCTAATTCCAGGGAGGAAAGGAAAGCTTCCCAGGGGACAGTTACAAAGGTCTCTTGTTCTTGTTGAAGATACATGCACACTATTATACACTCTCTCAGAGCTTCAGTTTCCTCCTCTTCCAACTGGGACCATAATTTCTTTACAATAAGGTAGTTGTGAAAATGTTGCTGAAATTAGAAAATGCTCAGCCCTGGTAGATGCAGCATAGATGTAGACTAAAAGCATCAACAAGGAGGGATAACCACCTGGCCCATCTCACCATCATAGAAACAGGACCCAGGAGAGCCCCACACTGAAAGGGGGAACACAGCCAGAGGGAAAGGGGCACAACACACATATGTACATGAATGGTAGTGATAGGAAAAGGATCCTGGTCCCTTCTTTCACCTGCATACTTATTCCATCCCTGCTCCCAGCTCTTAAACCCACTAAATACCTTCCATATCTGTCCCTGTTGCTTACTTATTTGCACTGACCAGTGTGAACCAATGTTCTCCATCATATGCTTTTCATTAGAAACAGCCTTGCTCCTATGGCTGTCCCTTTACAGGTACTCATCCTCTTCAAGGAAGCAGCCTTGTCCTCGGCTTACTTGGCTCAATGCCTCCATGATGTCCAGCGCAGAGCAAGTGTCCTGTGACAGTCACATGAGCAAAACCAAATTATGCACACGAACTATGAAAGCATCCTTCAAGGGACTTCCAAGATCTCTATTCCCATTACCCCCACTGGTGACAAGCACACTGATGAGAAGTACTTCCTGAATCTG